GATCCTTCGAAGCTGTCATTTCGTCGAATCTTTGGGAGATCGATAGCTTATCCCGAAAATTCGATCGCGATAAATCTGTGAATTATTTTCAAAATTTCCAGAGAGGGAAAAAAAAAAAAAGAGGATCAGAAATGACAGCCACGAAAATTTATCAATCTCGAGCTGAGAAACTTGTTTAATTGTTTCGTATATTTTATCGTTGTTATAATTTGTATTTCTTTATTGTCAGATAGTTAAATTGATATGTTACCGTTTCAACAAAATTGAAATATATATTTTTTCACATGAATCTAACTGATATCTGTTAATTTATTAAAAACAACTTATTAAAAATTTTGACTATAAATTTTTATCTAACTAAATTTATAATCGTATGACAATTAAACTGACAATTACAATGAACTTGACTAAATCTGATATCAAGATTTATTTACACAATGAAAGTACTATTATCATTAAAATTTTACAGATTTGACAATTTTAGAAAAGATTTGGTTTTCCTATTTATTGTTAGTATATAACCTAAACTGGTAACTTGTGAATTTACTTATACTATTAATCGATAAATTATTCCGCAAAAATTTCCACATGATGAAAATACATGCTTTTTGCGAAATGAATAACCTATCGATAAATATAAACGCTAATTTAATTGCTTGTCAAACACAATACCCTGATTCCTGAAATCTCCGTGTCTTTGTATCAAATAATCGTAAAAATATGATATTTATATAAATATAATACATATATGTGAATCGAAATAATCGACAAGTTTTATCAGCTCGAGAAATCATCGAGAATAGCAAGATAATCTAAAAACTCACCAATAATAACTCGTATCGATCTGGTGGTATTCCCTTTGACACATAGAAATCTCTAAATGACCAAAATGGCGAGAAAAATCCTTAGAATCTTTGTGTAATAAACAATCGACTATACGGCACGTTGGTATATCCGGCCAGATAGCAGACAGCAAACACCAAGGTAGACGTTCGAGGCACGAACCACGTGCTCGTTCGGATACACGTTCTAAAGTTCTAATCGGCGACGTCCAGACGAGGTTATGCTGCTTCGCGTGCTCGTCAACTTTTTCACGATTCTCTGGTAACGGCAATTTCACGCTCTCGTCGAAGACACGTGCGCGTACGAAGCGACCGAGGCGGCGATGAAATACGCAGCGACGATCGGTGGGATAAAAAGGACAACGATAATGACAACTGGCGGAAAGAGGAAGGAAGAATGTGAAAGAAGAGATGAAGGAGAAAGAAAAAAGGAGGAAAAGGAGAAAAAGAAGAGGAAAGAAGAAGAAGAAGAAGAGAAACGCAACGAGTGAGTCACGAAAAGTCCAAGTCTGAATCGAACCGCCAGTTTCCAAGGATGCTCGGTTCGAACTGAGAGCACCAAGAGGTTCCTCACGAGTCCCTGCCTCGGGTGTGGGTTTTCGGTTCGTTTTTCCCGTTTTTTCCTTCCGTCTCTGTCTTCCTCCGATGTCGATCTCTCTCTCTACGTGGGTTCTTGTGGCTCGTAGCCCTCTCTCTTTCTCTCTCTCTCCCGATCTCGATCTCACTTCTTCCTGCCGGTTTCATCCTTGTCTCTCCCGTCAGGGCCGACGATGGTGCGGCGTTTGTGGGCCCCCAGGGCCCCTGGGAGGCGGTCGCCGTGGTATCTAGAGTGGGGAGACCCCTAACCTAACTTAACCCGGACCAAACAGCCCCCACTACCTCACACCCTCAACCCTTATCCCCTCTACCTGGCCACTACGTGTCTCTTCTACCTCGATCCTTCTCTTTCTCGTCTTCGTCCTCTCCTTTTTCTCCCTCGTATTCTTGCCTCCGCTTATGTTTCTCGCTGGCTCTCTTTCCCTCTTTCGACCGTTTTAGATCCCAACGAAGGAACCGAGGCGTTTCTACGTGTGTCGCGTGTACCGATCGCGATCGTGTCTCGGTTTGTCGATGCGCGATGCAGCTGCGACAAGAATACCTCGATCGTCCCTTTTTCTTCGTTCTTCTTCCTCTCTGTCTCTTTCCCTCTTCACCTCCCGAATGAATCATTTATCAGGCAAGCCATTTTTCGTGACCTGGATGCGTCGTGGCAAGAACGTGGTAATTACGTGCAATTAATAGAAACGCGTGATTAAAATGCAGCAATTGCGGAAACGAGACATTGATTCACTCGATCAACGGGCACGTCTACCGCGATACGACGAAGTCGCCGACGGCGACGCAGACGGGGCAACATTGGAAGGGATCGATCAAGTTCGCCGAATCTATTTACATGAATACCAGATTCGCTGTCGCGGACCTACCGCGGCGTGATCACGAATCGATCGCTGTCGATCCACTCTCTCTAAACATCGAAACGTTCGCTTGTTGTCCTCGAGGGGGCAGCCGGCGCTCGCGTCGCCTTTAATTCGGACCAATCGATTGGACGAAAAAACAAGTGAGCATTGTCGGGAAACGAAATGGAGGAGAGGACAGGAGAAAGAGAAAGAGAGAGAGAAGTCGGTTGTGGACTCACGGCGAAAGAGTTATTGCGGTTACGTTCTTTTTCGAACGCGGTAGTAATATATTCGTACGGGAGCTTCGGTGTTGCTCACGCACACGGGGATCTGCTCTGGCTGTCTGTCGAGAAGAGTCGGTGGATAGGAAAGAGAGAAAGAGAGGAAGGAGGAACAAGAAAGCTCCGAGGAGACTCCCACAGGGCAACCCACACGATCGAAAGGGACACATTGGGTTCTCGCGTTCGAACGCATCCGCGTATGCGTTCGTTCCTTCGGTTAGCGAATACGATGCACTGCGTGGATCTCGCACGCGATGCGTAACGGAATCGGAATAAGAATTTTATTCCGTCATTGAACGACAGATCAGACGCTTTATCGAACTTTGTATGCGCGAGAAATTTTTGTTTGAAAAATCTTCTTCGATTAACATGTCGCCGATTCGATGGAATTGAGAATTTTAACGAATAACTGCTAAAAGAGTAGGAAAGAGATTGTCGAGAATGAAGAAATTACAGGATTGAACAAATTTTAATGATGGAAATGAACCATATTCTATATCGAGAAATTATGTGAAGAGATCTAGGTAATCTATAGTATTTTGTATTCGTAATGAGTTCAGGATCGGTCACGAACATTGTAGTTGCTAAGCATATGAAATTTTAATCTAATGTATTTTATTTTTGCTGAGAACGATGAATATGAACAGTTATAATAGCTAGCGAAAAACGAGGAGGGATTAAAAACTCGAATATTTAAAGAAATTTATGCATTATTTCAATGTGACCTAACTCGTTTAAATAGATTCAAAGGGAGTTTTTTTTCAATGATGAAAATGATTTGATGAATATATAGATATTTTTACATCAGAAGAATCACAAAAAATAAGGTAAACAATTACTGTGCTATTTCTCAATTATTCAGACATTCATTTAATTTTTTAAAAATTAGAAAAAATAATTAAATTAATATTTTATTGAAATAAAAATCTATTTATTTATGTAAAAAATTGTAAATCTTTTTAAATAATTTAATTAAAAAGAAATATTCATTAATAAAAAGTTAATAAAACTTAAAAGTTAATAAAATAAAAATTTCTTTCCATTGCTTGTATATTTTTCTATACCATGAAAAATTAAAACTGATAAATAAAATAATAATTCATAATATATCTAATAAATACAATGAAGATTTTATTTTATATTTTAATTAATATTTCTTTTATTTTAAGAAAACATATTACATTAGAAAAATAATCAACTCTCTACAAATAAAATTAAAAAATAAATTTTAACTTATTGCTAAATTCCTATTAAATAAGCCATTTATCTTGCTGTAAATCTAGATCTTTTCATCGTATGGATAAAAGCTCAAAAGCATTAAACCATTACAATTTCCTACGCACCACTGTATCGAGGTTCTATGCACTTTATTCAGATTTGAACAGACGAGTCGTGCGTCACGTAATGTAGAGAGTTGCATCGTAGATAGAAAATCATCCTAATATACCCTGGGAAGACGTAGGCAGACCTGCCCCCCTGCTTCGAACGCATTTCACTATTCGTAGTGCGTGTAACGCGTGTGCTCGACCAAGTGTGCGTAAGCGCTACTGTGCACACATACTGGTACATGTGTATACATCCAACTCGATCCTGTACACGCACTCGTGCGTGCTTTCATTCGCGTTGCATTCGCCGCGCGAGATTTAAGGTAGCTTGAAAGATTTGCTGGCCGAGTTTAAATTTAAATCGACTTTAATTTGCTGCGCAGAAAATCGTGCTTGTCCGCCGTTCTTATCCACATAAACTTAGTTGCCACTCTTTTCTGGGATGATAAGATTTAAAAAAAAAAAATAATGCATTGATCATATGATATTGTATAATAGATTGTAATATCAAATATTATGATGATTAATGATAATAACAATAGTTAATTATTTATTATTATTGAATATATATTCAATATATTCAATATATTCAATATACTTTTAAGTATATTGATATTATTTATTTATATCTTTAATTCATTATTTTTACTTCTTTTTTTATTCATTTATTAGTCTTTTCATCAAGTATTGAAACTATTAGCAACATAAAATATTTATTATATGAGTATTATAATATCTTACCTTTCTTATTATACCATACTTCAATAAAAAACAAGATTAGATTAAACAAAATACATTAGATTTCTTAATACAATGATTTTTCTTTTAAATTAATTTCTGCACATATGCTGAATTTATTAGTATTTTTTTCTTCTACTTGATGTCAAAAACAGTTTTTAAATACTTGATTTATTATATTTTCCTATAAACATAAAAAAATTTATTAATTCTAATCTCATAAATGTTTGAGTTAAAAACTAATCTTTATAATATTAATATTTTTCCATTTTTGTTTTTTCATTTTCGAAAAAATACCAATCGATTTCCATTTGATCGACCCCATGCGAGATTTCGACGTCGATCGACCACCGTACCGTTATCGAGTTTATTTGTATATTTTAACTCGATCGAACGAGGTTCAGATCGATCCAACCATTCTGATTCACCTCCTCGTCTCCGTGGAGCTTCGTCTCCCTTTTTATACGGGCACGCATTTGTCATTCGCGAAGGAATGACGATCGCGGCTCGGAGATTTATTCCAGCTTGGGGCTGGTTTCACGGCGCGCCGCATCCTCGCTGACAAAACCGAAATTTATTTCCCAACGTCCGTCCAAATGTCCTGTAAATTACCCACCAACTGTCCAGTACCTTCGAATCACGTCTACGACGATACTTTTTATTTGATCCCATCGAAACTGTGCATCGCGTCAAGAATCGAACGATGGCGTGCCTTCTGCGCACACCTTGGTTTTATTTGAAAAAAAAACTTACATTTGTTCGTAGTGGTGTTAATGTATGCGGGTACTCGTGAAGTTGTTCATTGCTCATACGAGGCAATAAAGTTCGAAAATTCATGGTGAAATTATTACGTATTTCATTGCTGAATGTCACTGTGGTCACCTTCGAAGTAACAGTCATACCAGTATCTTGTTCATCATTTAAAGCGTTTTTTTCTTCAAAAGAATTTTTATCTAATAAATAATAATTTTATTGGAATCTATTTCTCTGACTTTTTCTATTTCTGAAAATAAAAGAAAGAAATATCGAAAGTATTTTAATGATAATAAGAATAATATAAAAGTGATTCCAAAATTATTTAGATAAAATGTGGTAATTAATTTCTTGGAATATCTTGAAAATAATTACAAATTCAATAATAAAATATAATAGAATTTCTATACTCGTAATCTATTTCTGAAAAACAAATGAATGTAGAATAACTTTTTAATAATAATAATGATTAAGGGAAAATGTGATATAACGGTGCAAAAATATGAAAATAATCATACTAATAATTACGGTTAAAATTACAGTATGATCATTACAATCTACAGATGCTCAAATTTAGGCTAATAAGTCATTCACTCATATATGAAGACTTTCTATTGCATATTTTCGTTATCTATCCACTATATCGAAGAATTAGCTGTTTGCCGATTTCGATGATACCGTTGATCGGCGTTACTAAAATTTCGAAAGACCTACCGCAGTAAATCGGGTTAATTACACGAGCGGTAGCATGCCGCGATCGATGAATGAGCGGACACGAGCATGGTGGTCCCAATTAGGTCAGTCGGAACGCCAAAAAAGGACTCGCGTTACCATCCTTTGGGACTATGAGCAAACCAATCGATGGTCATCGCCAGTTCATCAGATTTTCCTTGGTTTGAAGATTTCATCGTTAACTGGAAAAGTTATAATTAGAGATTTCTTGCAAACTATTTCCCCTTAACTTCTGTGAATAATCTTCTTCTTAAATTTTGTGATTTCAGAACAATAAGTAAAATAGTTGTAAATATCAATGATCCAAGTTGGAAACCAAAATATCAAAAATATGCAAACATACCAATAAATAGTTATTTCATTTCATTTGATAAAACTGTAAGAGAAATAAATAAAGACAGTGGCGATTAATTAAATTAATTATATCTGTTGCAGACACATTTGAAAGAAGAATATAATGGAACTTGGACAGAGCAAACCATAATAGTGCGTGGGACAGGACCAGCTAGGACGGAGGCTGCGTGCTCTGCTGGGGGCGGCTTCTTGCTTCTTCGCTTTTTTCCCCTTCCGTTCTCTTTTTGTTTCTTTCTTATTCCTCTTTTTTCCTCTTCCTCTTTCTTCTTCTTAGGATTCTCTCTCTCGTCAGACCACTTTGCTTTGAATAAAGCAACGAAAACATGCCGAGTCTCTTGAAACGCCCATAAAATGATTGACTTAAGGAGTTGGGGGACGCGTTTGTCTGCCTTTTGGGCCAAGCACACAACATCTTCTCCTGTGTTATCGCTCGTCCACTCTTATTTTTTCTTATTTTATTCACACAGCTGTTTGATTTGATATACATCCGATATTTTTGACTTATTCTTCTATCAATCATCAATTTTGATTTAAACATTCTTATCAAAGAGAAACTAAATAGTTTTATCTATTCTAAGAATCCATCATTCTTTTTTATCTTAAATTAAATTAAAAATTAAATTAAAATCAAAAGTATATGATGTTATAGACAATTAGATATTAGAGAAAGGAACTTATATGGAGTAAACTATAGTCGGATGTGGGACAGAGCGATCCACGGAGGCTGCGTGCTCTGCTGGGGGCGGCTCACTCTTCTCTTTCCTCTCCTCGAGATCCTTTCTCTGCCATTCCCTGTTTTACTCCTACTCTCTTCTCTCTTTATTCCTCCAGGTTAGGCATTCATCGACAAGATCTCGAAAGTTGTTTTCTTGTGGTTCACGTTTACTTCTTGGATCTAAGATTAGTGCTATCTCTAGAAAACAGATCTGCCAATGCTGGATGATTGTATATTTATTAGCTAATGACACATTTGGAAAAGTGTATTTTATTAATAATAAATTCAAAGATTCTTATATGATATAATATAAAAAGAAAAGAATCGATAATAATATTCAATAGATATTTTTTTTAAAGAAAATTTATCGAACAAAATTGAAAATTTTTAAACATTTCTATGCTCTTTAAAAAAAAAAAGCATTGTTTTCGATATCAAAAGTGATATTTCACCAACTCTACTATATATAATATATATATATAAATACTACTATATATATATATAGTATCGGTGTATGAGCGTGACTAAGAGAAGGGAGTAACAGGTGGATGAATACGTTTACAAACCGAATAATAGGGACATATTGAAGGCCAATTTATATCTTTCTTATCAATATCTTCTGTCAACTATCCCTTTTGAAACATTTTGTATACATATATTGATTCCATCTCTAATTATAATTCATTAACAGTAAACACAAAATGAAGTTTAATCCTTATTCGTTCTAATCAATATGTATTATCTTTCTATAAACATCAAATTCCTATCTGATTATACAAAATATATTTAAATTCTAAATTAAGATAATTATTGTATTATTCGAGTTCACTTATTCGAGACAATATTCTTTACTGTATGAATTTTCAACTTGAGAATTTTTGAGAGAATATTATTTTGCTCTTATAAAAAACTATCGTCTCTCAAAAAAAAATTGAAAGTGAAACATTGTTCCATCGTGGGTTAGTAATAACATAACAATCTTCGATTCTTTGACACATTGTTTTTGCAAGAAGCAGAAAGAAATGACAATATTTCTAGAATGGATATATAAGAGTGCAAAAAATATATCGAATACTTGATTTTGCTTTTTTTGAAAGAAGAACTTGTGGTTTCAATAGCTTCTACAAGAAATACATTTTTCTGCTATGACCAATATTCAATTCTAGAATAAAAAAAATTACGATAAAATCGATGTGATCTGCGGTGATCGTCTTATATTGTGATTACAAAGAATGGTCGTTTTTATCTCAATTATTGCTTCTTCAACAACTGCGACCAGTGATCGCTTGTTTAATTTGCAATTAACATGGTTATATTATTAATTAAATAAATTACGGTAATATAGAAAAGAATTTTAGTTACACACAGCCAGATGTTTCCTTTTTTCATTTCTTTTTTCATTTCAAAGAAATATTATCGATGCATTTTCACTCTGTCGCCTTCCGTTATGTCCAATTTAATTACTCGAATACAAGTATCTTAAATTGTGTCATGTTTTCACAATTATAATCGATGAATTCAATTTGCGATAATTTGCATTCAACGTAAGAGTTTCATTTTTGAAATATAAATATTCTGAAAATGAAAATGTTAAATTATTCGATAAATTCATGCACATTTTTGTCTCAAGAGCAATTAAATATTGACTTTATGTTATTTGAAAATAATTTATTTTTTAAATGAGATTTATATATAATATATTTTATATCTCATTTAAAATAAATTTGCTATTTTTACTTCTAAATAAGAATAATTTTGTTTGGTATTATATACAGAAGGAAGAATTTCTATTATTTTTTGGAAAAAGTAAATATTCTTGCTATTGGACAGCCTAATAGATGGAGAGACAGAACCAAGGTGTGCTGTTACACGTCACCTTTTCTTTACCGTTACTCTCTCCCCTTTTTTTCACAAAGCTTCCCTGTTTCTCGCGTGGGTGCTCGCGATGCCGAGAGCACCGTATCCTTTTCGAGCTCCTATTCGACGAGGCTGATCCTGAATAGGGATCCAAGGGCGCCTACGTAACCCTGCCCGCCATTGTGGACACGTCAACCAGTTTCCATGCCAAGGCTTCTTTTTCACGCTCTTTCCACCCAGTCGTAGCAAATATACGTTTATGTTCGTGATCCTCTATACCAACATTTCTCCTCACAAGGTCTAATATTATTTAATTATATTATAATTGTGATCTAAATGTTTAGAATTTGATAGACAGAATTATTATAATATGCATTATAATATACAATTATTAAAATGAAATTAATTATTAAATGAAATAATCTGACTTAGATTCATTTCAGATAATTATTAATTTTGTAGATATATCGATACTCAGTTGCCATATTCATTATTACACTACGATATTGCAACATATTTTCTCAAACTCTTTGTCGTCGTTTATTTAAAATCATTCCTCATATTAATTTTAATAATTTTTTAAAAATAGTAAAACATAATTTGGTAAACATTTGGATTGAGAAATGTTATACGTTTAATTAATTACTAGAAGAAATCATTTGCTCGAATTGCAGAAATTTTCATAGCTTCAATATCGATTCGTAAACTGGACACGAAAACCAGTTCATCAAAAGTAATACAATGCGGTTACATATCGAGACAAAGGGTCCAGATCCAGGGTCAAGGAAACGCGATGATATAACAAGTTCCAACGTCTCTCTTTTTTCCCTTTTCCGGCCGATTTCTCTTGATTCGGCGCTGTTTCATTAATAATTCGCTTGCAAAGCTTATCTGACATCTACCGCGGCGAATAATTACGCGGCAAACGTATCCCTGAATTTCTTGTTACCACCTGCCACGGACGATTGACCAGATACAAGATAACGTGTCCACCTGACTTGTCCTCTCGCATTCGACTTTCATCCACTTAAATTTTCCGATTGTCTCCAACTATGACTTTTTTTGGACATGTCTGTTTGACAGCCAGTAAGAATGTTAATATATGTAAAAATATTGATATGAAGAATGAATTATATGCTAGTAATTAGTAATTAGGATCTCGTAACAAGAGGACAGATAAGCTTTTGACAGTTTTTAAGTTATTGTGTTATGTAATATGTTTACTTATCATGTTATTTAAGTGAATGTTAAATGATTTATTATTAATTTTAGATTGTCTTATAAGGGTAGATATTCGATTTTCAATAATATTTTTAATAATAATTAATAAATTTTTTTTTATGTTTTAGATAAGAACAGTGGCAACAAAACAGAATAATCGTAATTGTACATGAAAATACTCGTATAATGCAATATTTGAAAAACATCTGTGTACACTGTGTAAATGGCCAATCGGAGATTATCAAAGACTATCTCAAAAATCCGAGTCCTTTACCAGTCACGCTCAAGACAGAAGCCCTCGTAGATACTATCGTATACCTTTCTAACTTTAGTTTTCTTTCTCTTTCTTCTTCTTTCACTAATCTTCTATCGATCTTTTTTCTTCTTTTATGCTCGCTTATTTTGTGATCCTTTTCCATCCTCCAGCTTTCAATCTCTCCGATCATATTACTTCGTTCCACCAATTCAAGATCTTCCATCAACCGTAAAATCGTCATGCATAACGTCAACTATGACCATCCGAAGATTCTTTGTTGAAGGGTAACATAATAGCGTTAGATAGTTAAGAATCTAATCTTTGATCTTGTGTTGATAGAAAGGTCGTTTTGTAAAAAATGGTCTTGCTAAAAATTTCAAAAGATTTTTGTTACATTTTAGAATTTAGATTAGATCGATTTGAAATGGAACACTGTCGGATGTCCATCATTTTGCAAGATGTAATGAATCGAGCAAAATGATAAATGATGCAGTTCAAATGATTATGACATAAATTAGTCAGTGTTTCGAATTTAAGTAATTAAAAAACAATTTGGAGAGATACATAAGAAAGGGCAATCGTAATTAGTATTAAAATATATCGCTGGAATTGATAGTGGCACAACTCAAAAACTTCAAATTTGTTTTTTATTGAATACAAGGTCTACGTTATATTTTCATTTTTATATAAATTTATCAAAATTTCACAATAATTAATTAATAATTACATACGATAATTAATAAGACTTTATTTAATATTATCAAAAATTTTAAAAAATCTCTTCTATAAAATTTTGAATTATGCCACTATCAATGCATATGTATCATTTCTAAAAACAAGCTACTAATTACGTTCTCCAACATCTTACGAAAAAAAATGGAAAAAATCTACGATGAGAATTAAAGATGGATAACAATTAATTAATTAATTAATAGTTACAAATTAAGATAAATATGATAACGATTGATTATATTTTTCAGAAATCAGAAACGAAGAAAGAGAGATAATAGACGAAACAGATACGAAAATTAATTGCACATTAGTAGATTCGATTGCACAAACCAGCTACAATCGACGATTTCTCCGATCGATCTGTGAACACACGCGACGGGTCGCTCTTTCGGTTAACCTTTAGCGCGAATTCCGCAGAAGTTATTGATAGTCTTCACCCGCGATTTTTCTTTGCCTACGGTGTCTTGAGAAAGTGCAAAGAAACACATTCTTCAATGCAATTCGTGGAATTCCAATCTTTACTGGCTAGATCGATTATTCGATAGTTCCGCAAATGATTAGATTAACATGACATAAGTAGCTGTTTGATGAATACAGAAAGTGTAGGAACAGAAGAATCTGCAAAGAAAATAGAAAAATAGAAGTCAATTTTCTTCGTTTAATTGCTTGTAAATATCAATACGTCAAAAGATACTTCAATCTTCAAATTCATGACGATTTAACTTTTTTATTGGAGCTGAATTTTTTGCAATTTTTCATTTGGAAACTTTTGCACTGTAAATACATAGTGATATTATCTTTCTCACATTTTTATCCTTCATCTCATTTCATCTATTAAATTGTTTACTCAATAAATTTCAACATCATTACATACCAATCTTTATATTTATTTTAATCTTTGGAAATATCTCTTAAATCTTCTACTTACTTCATCCAAAACTTTCTATAAGGTAAAACTTTAGAGACTTGCTCGTTTTTGTTTCATTTTTACCTGTAAATATTACCAAAGCAATCAATGCGAGATGTAATACACATCTAATGCTTTAAAAAACAAGAATTTTAAATATTAGTAATCTCAACTAAACAGGTAATTAAAAACAGTTCAAAATAGAATTAGAAAAATATATACCAATATATGAATAAGATTCAATCTATCTAATACATTCTGCTGCTATCCATACCCAAGCAATTCTCGTAGCCATCCGATACGGCTAATCAGAGATCCGTTAGAGAAACGTTGGACGTTTCACAGTAAGAGTAGAAAGACCGGAAGAGTAACCACTTGGGAGTATCCTTGATCCAAACTCATCGTTTCCTTATAGCTAACCGCTCACACCTACGCTGTCTTGCCCCTGATTAGCAGAAGACGAAGGAATATATCGTGCGTAACAGGGCCGCACGACTTCCTTGCAAACGTTCGTTCCCATCGTTTATGGGGCTTTCCGTTGTCGCCGCTTCCCATGGACTTCCTAAACATTGACTTCCTCGAAGAAGGCAGAAGCAGATGGCCTATTAATTCGACGACCACGAAGAAGGACCCGCCACCTTCGTGGCCAAGACACCCTCCACGCCACGTAACTTGGGAACACCCCTGACCTTCTTCCCACAAGTGCACCCTGCACTTGTTCTTCCATGGCGTTGTCCGACCGTTAAGTTTCACAGATTCCTCGGCCACCTTGCGCACCTCCTTCGCAACTGACGAGTTCAACTACATCTTTTAGAGAAAATTTAAACTTTTGTGAGTTATTTCTTTTATGGATTATGATAGAAGTCTATTTATATATATATTTCATTTACATTTAACTACATTTTTGTCTAATTGTTATCTGAATTAGCGTCATTCTTGTTATAGAAATCAATTTTTAATTGAAGATACATTAGATAGATAGAAGATTCTATTAAATTTAATGTAGAAAAGAAAATTTTTCGTTTCTTTCTTATGAATTTCAAAACTCATAGTTAATGGGATATGAATTTGTTCACTGAATTTATATTCAGATTCATAAACATTCTATTTTATTTATTTATTTTATTAATTTTAAAATAAAAAAAATCTCTTTATTATTATCGAGAATTAATAATATTGATTTCTATGACCTCGATGACCTAAACAGTAGGGCTTCGAGGAGGAGGTAGGATAAACCGGGGTCAAAAGTAATGCTTTAACTTTAGAATATGATAACTCAGAAACGAGATTATAAATACAGTGAAAATTTTTATGTAACTATTTTATATGTTTATCTGAAATTATTAAGTCATAGCTCTTTCGCATTACATAAATAATAACAAAATTATCGATCAAAAATTGGAACCAAGGAAAATCTTAGAACGTTTATGCAATTGCTATTGCTTGAAACTTCCGGGTATGAATTGCGTCAGACAGAAATTTTATTCCAATTCTTTTATCAGAAGTTGGATGATACATCATGGATCACTGATTATCAATAAAGATTTTTCTTTAATTGTACAATTCTGAACGATTAAAAAAAAAAAAAATCGCCTGGAAGCCTCAAGCAATAATAATTTCGACGAGTTTGATTATCGAGTCAAAAAAAATCATATGCTTATCTTAAAAAGAAAAATAATAGTATGAAGCTTGTATCCCATAATTTTGAAAATCATCGTCCAAGGCGCGGAATTACGCAACGGATAAGTTTGGAACGATGATGCCTCGGTCTGGAAACCGCAATCAGGAGAAAAAGGCTTCGAGGAGCATCGGCCATCGACGATCCCTCGACGTGGCTTCGTCCTTCGTATCCTCCACGGAAGACACGGCATGGGAAAGAATGTCGTTGATCGAGTACGTGCACGCGCATCGAAAGCCTTTTCGCGCCGTGGAACCGGTCATAAATTCATCAGAGACTCATTTGAAACGCGTGCGTTTCGCGAATCGCAGCGCTAACGGTATCCTTGATGAAAGAATTAGAAGATTATTTTTAAATATCGATCGGATACTTCATATTTGTTAATTTCTTAACGAGATAGATTTCTTGTTGATCATGAACTCGGAATCACCCATTATGTTGAGATGAATGAGATGATCTACGTATTGCAGATAAATTAAAAAATCGTCTGTTCTATAAATTTTTTCTATCAGAAGGAAATTGAAAAGAATAAATTGGATATGTTCGTTATATGATGTTGACTTGAGGTTAATTTTAATAATTCAATTTTGTTGTTTAAAAGCATGACTTTCTTTTGTATTTTCTGTTAATATTAATATGAATAGAAAGGAAATAGTATCTATAATAATTTTCATCTAGGAATATATTGATTCAAAATTATATAACTTTAGTTAAATTATTGAATATATTTAGTTTCTATTCATAGAATACCATTATAAAATATAGTAAAAGTTTAAAAAAAAAATTAGGATCGCTTACAATAATGATATTATCAGTTTTATGTCTTTTTTATGACACTATAAATATTCATAAATATAATCGATTTCAAATTCACCATCATGAAAACGATCATTCCTTTATATCTAATAACTTAACTTGACCTAACCTAACCTAAACCACACAATACTACACTAAAAATATATACCAAATTTTAAATATGCTTGTAACAAATTTGAATGGATCCTTAAATTTAAAATTGATATATCTTGTCTCCATTCTGCTATCAGAAAATGTAGAAATAACTTTTAAAAAAAACAATGCTTCAATGTTTACCCAAGATTGAGGAGGACAAGTTAGATACGTTCGACGTTGACTTGGATTGATCAGGGTAGCGAGAGGAGCTCGTTGCCACGGCGAATAAGATTAATAAATCCAAGAGGCGGGTAGCGCGCGCGCGCTTGGTAACAATAACGAAACACCTTTTATGCACGCGTGGATCCCACCTCTTCCTCCTCCACAGCCAGCGGCGCATCTACCGCAACTACCATCTCGGCTGTCTCGCTCCATCCACGAGCGCGAGCTTCTTCGCATTCACCTGCTGCTATTCGAAGATCAGCTGCCCTAACCGCCACCTTGGCAGCACCTTGCCCCTTCGCTATCCTCCTTCACCTCGACCGGTACCCTCGGCATGTTGCGCCGCTTCTTCTCCTCCTTCTTCCACCGCTTCTTCAACCCGTTCTTCAACCCTCTGTCCGCGGCGAATCGTTTCTTTTTCCATTGCCTTCGTCTCTCCACGTCGATCGCCTTCCTCTCTCTACCTCTGATTCTCCTTCCGCGCTTCTGTTTCTTCTTTACCTGCCCTCTTCTTCTTCTGTTTCTTCTTCCTTCTCCTCCTCCTCCTCTTCTCCGTGACTGTCTCGTCGAATCGACCGCATGCTCCCGCACACACGGCACGGATTTTTTCGAAAAAAAACACAGCTGCACTGCTCTTTTATGGGGGTCCGTTGGCTACGCACGCCGAGCGCGAACACCGTGCAGCTTGCGCGCTTGTGACACGCGTGTTTCGTTTTTTTTCCATGAGCTAAGCTGCTGCCATTCGGTTTGACCTTGCCTGTAATTAGCCGATGCAAAAAATGCGGCTAGCGATCGCTTGTGCTGCTTGATTAAATTGATGCTATTAATGATGGGATTGAGTATACGTAAACAATACGATAATTTAATATTTAATAATTTAATAATGACATACCAGAATATTTCGTAAATATAAAACAATCCTTTTGAGCAGAATCTGAATGAGACTTTGAACCTTTCATAAGTCTAAAAGTATTTTCAAGTATATAGAATCAAATATTATCCGAAATTTTAAGAATACAGTATTTATTAAAAATCAATTTTCTTAAAAATAATTTTTGCATATTACATATTACTGTATTTATCTTATAATATAATATTATTTTTATTATTTTTTAAATGAAAAGTTTTTTAAAAAAAACATAGAATATGCTATCATTCATAGCTTACTTCATAACGTTAAGATAAATCCATATATAAATCGAATCTCGATAAGTCGAACTTCAAGGAAAGAGATACAAATTTTCGAATCATAGAGATAACGATTTATAAAAATTATCAAATGAAAAAATTTGTTTTATATAAATTAAAAATTTTTTCTTATTATAAAAAATAAAAACAATTTTTAATTCTAGTAATTTCTTGCGATACATAACCTTAAACTTCGAATTGTAGAAGTTGCAGCGATACAAATTCGAAAAATTATAGAATAGTATGTTAACTTTGACTTGTAGAAGTCTAACTATTTTAAGTTTAGATTTCAAATATAAAATAATGCATCGGTATTTGATAAATAATTTGAATTAAAATAACTTTTTTCAATTTGTAGAGATTGTAGCAGAGATTGTAAAGAGATCGAATAAAATTATAGTCTTACAGAGAATTTCAAGATTCGATTGTATCTTACTAATAATATTTCATTCCTACAAAATGAATCTTTTCTATCGGATTGATATTTTGTAAGTACTCACATATTAAACTTGATTCCACTATTAAACACATTAAATATATTCCACCATTAATTGCAGATATATCGTCGATATTTCGAAACATGGCGTTAATCCTCAAGATTCAAGTCAATGGATAGTCTTTATCATTGCTCGACAATGCTAATCTTCTACAAATTTGAATCGTGCATGGCTCCAAGAATGAATTTTACTCGATAAGTGGCGAGAAAGGCGAAGGAAGTATGCTTGATCTTTTTTTTCAACGGTTGATGGTTGCGCAACGCAGCGGACAACGGGTTATAAAGTTGTATACGCTTTAGGCACCTTAGTGTGTAACATTGTGAAAAAAACGAATGGCACCTGTGAGGTTCTTTGTCAGAATTTCTTCATCGGCAGGCAGCAGGTGAACTCGTGTCGGACAATGAGCCGCGTTGCTCGATTCGCGTGCAACCAACATTTTTCACAAGTACGCTGCATTCACACACATGCGTGCGCATGATCGAGTTCGATGGTGAGACGAATTCGTATTTGACTCGTGGCGAAAGAAAAGCTTCGGCAATTTGGCGTGCGCAAGCGCACGCGACTGCTACCGATTATATCCGAAACCGTGTCGCCTTTTTGTTGGTTGATGACCATTTGCGTCGGTGGCGAAACCGGAATAAAAGCGATTCCATCTGAGTTCTCCTTACAGAGATCGACAGTCGTTAGTCAAATGAAAATCGATCGATCTCGAATGTTTCTTTATGTCTTCATTAATCATATAGACCAATGAGAAAGATACTTCAATTGGTAAGTATATCTGACGAGTCAGAATCATTTTTTGTATCTTAGGTTAGAATTATGAATCTCATTGTTAACTGAAATAATATTATATAGATATAATTATAAACATGAAATTAGAAGCGAGATAAATGGAAATGTGTAATATGAAGTGTTATATTGAATATGATATATCACTTTTCAGAATTTTGGGAAATTTTTTATTATTTTTCAAATTTATTTATAGCATATAATAATATTAAAACAATGAAAATTGTTTATTCTAACGTTATTTTTTTTAATTGACATAATATCATTAGATAATGTTGACATTTTTTGAACTTGTAGCTTCTACTAGATTATTTAATATTTAATTGTTATTGTTGAATCTTTTGAATACATTACAAATTCCATAATTTTGTTTATTAAATAACATATATATATATTTAATTTAAATATATATAAACTTTTAATTTTCACATTATCTTTATAAATAGTAAACTATTATTGAAATTAAACATGCTATTTATTTATATAAAATTATTGTGATAAAGGTATGCCAATATTTTTTCGACTTATTACAAGCATTTAACTAAACCATAGTAAGTACTAAAAACGGAAGAGGCTTGTTATCGTAGAAACCAGAGGGGTCGAGTGTAAGGAGTTCCCGAAGGAATTGGCCGCGACGAAAGTCGACGACTCGTGGGAAAGTTAAGGGGCGCCAACCGTTTTTGAAGCGGAGAATACATAGCAGCGAGACCAAGAGACGCTGGGGGTGGACATGTAATTGATACGCTTCGCAGGGCCGTGTTTGAATTTCATTAAGGCCCTAATGCCACCTCTGGATCCATTCCGCTTCACTGGTTCATCCACTTGAACGATCAGGAATCCACTGACCAGACACTTTGTCGCTCTTTCTTTCTCCTCTGGCGACAGTCTCACGATTCAAAAGTGCATCGGTTCTCGAGCTTCTTCTGAAGGATTAGCTTCCGTGAACGCGCGAAATTTGCATGGGAAAGTTCAAGAGATAATTCAGGAGTTTTTGCATGTAACATTCAGAGATTGAGTTACATTTTTGTAAAATTTGTAACAAAATTTTGCTACAAATTTGTTATCGTTCTTCGAATAAGGTATTAGATTAATTTCAATAATTAATTAATTATTAAACGAATTATTTATTAAGTAAAAAAATTTTAGGATAAATATATGAAATATAGATAAAATATAGTATAAATATAAATTACGGATGGAAGAAATGAATATAACACTTTTTTAAAATTTTAGCAGAAAATCTATTCGATATGGAATACACTACTTAATGAATCATGTCAAGTGGAAAAAATAATTTGCTTTCGCAATTTAAATATATATACACTTCTAAAAATGATGTACAGAAATTAGAAAAAAATAATCTAAAGGATTAAAATAAAGGATTAAAATAAAGAAAAAGTAAGTTTTAAAAGATTAAACAATGAAATACAAAATATTTGTCAGGACAATTGTCAAATATGCTGACATTTAAATTATCTGTCTAAATACATATTTACAATATGATTCATGATAATCTGATATCCAAAATCATGAAAAAGAAAATAGAAAAAAAAAAAAATAATCTCAATAAACTATCTATCGAATCGAACAGATATCACGATCGATTCTCCTCGGAAACAGCGGCTCGTTCCCCAGAGATCTAAGCGACCGACGTAACCGTCACGATCGAACCCTCCGGTTTTCGATTCGTGAACGAGAAAGGAGGATAGGAAAAGAGAGAAGAGAAGAGAAGAGAGAAGGAAATCTGTCGAAAAAGGATCGCTGTGTGTGCTCCTCGCGGAAAAAAAGACAAGTCCACCACTGTGGGAGATCGCGTACGCAGGGTGCAGTCCAGTCGAGAAGTCGTGAGAGTAAACCTGACGGGCGAGAGAAGGACGAACAGAATCACCTGCGGTGCACCTGCTGTGCAGGGGGCTCCTTCAGTCCCGTATTAAAAGTGTATCAGACCTTCTCCTCCTCCATCTCCTCTTTTTCCTTCTTCTTCTTCTTCTCCTCCTCTCCTTCTTCTACTCCTCCTTCTCTGTTTCATCCTCATTCATCTTTTTTTTCTATCTTTGTCTCATTCCTTGATTCTTCTTCATTCTCTTTTTTTTCCTTCTCATTCTTCGATTCTCTTCTCTTCTCATTCTTCAATTCTCTTCTTTTCTTCTCATTCTTCGATTCTCTTCTCTTCTTTTCTTTCTGCTCATCTATCTTATCCTTTGATTTTTCCACTTTTCTCTTCTTTTTTTTCTTCTTTTCCTATTCTATTCGCTTCATCCTTCAATCTTTTTGCTATCTTTTATTCTTATTCTCTTTTTATTTTTTTTCTTTTCATCCTTCTTTCTTCTTCAATCTCCTTCATTCTCATTCTCATTCTCCTTCTTTTTATTCATCATTTTTCTTCTTTGTTTATCGTGAACCTCCATTCGATTTCATTTTAATTTTATAATCTTCCCATTTCAAAATATGGAATTCTATTCTTACGATAATTGTTTCAGCTCAATTTTTGGCTTTTGCTGGAAATGTGATCCAAGAGTGGGCATGACCGGAAACTACCGACCATTACGATCCTCTTGGCTATTTTTTCGTTCACCAATCTGCTAACTTGGCTTCCGTGTATTTTTTGAATTAATCGATTTAAACGGGAGCCTGTCGATTGAATGTATCGACCAAAACGAAGTCAAGGGTAATTACATAATCGATTGAACGATCTCTATTCACGGTCACAGGTTTGTACAAAGTACTTTCTTCTGATGCAATCTCGTTGCTCTCTCATTTCTCTCTTCACCCATTTTCATTCTTGAAGACGCTTAGTTACGTTTCGCAACGGTGGTCGTTGTTTTATAACTGTGCCTATCTAAGAAATCTCTGCATCGAGAGAGCATTATCTGTTCTCTACATTTCTCAATGTCGCGCGCCAACTTTACGTCGATTCGATACGTAATTCTGTTAATGTTTTTCATTTCTGCGACAAATAAACATCACGAGATACTTTGGAGGTAAACTTGTTGAAAATGATTGTGTAGAATTATTTGTGAGAATAAAAGATTCGTATCTTATTTCTATTTTCTGTACAATATAGTAAAATATCATCATTATATTATTGGATTGAATATTTTTAGATTAATATATCATATGAGTCATTTAAATCCTTGATCCTGAATAAATTATTTAATCCTTTATGATGTAATTTCTGAAACAATATTATATTTTTCTAGAATTCTTTTTTCTTTAATATAATATTTCATGTATTAAATCATCTATTAATTCATCTATTTTGAATTATTCGTTTCGAAGGTAATCATTGTATTATATCTAAATAAAATCATAAATTTTTATTACGCTATCTTAAGTCTTTTTATAAATATGATAAATTTGTCTAGAAAAAAAAAGCTTGTTATAAAACTTCACATCTTTTTTAAATATTTATGAATTTTAATATTTCTATTATTATATTTACCATTTATATTAAGTATTTTATCACTATATATTAATATAATATTAATATATATTAATATATAATTTTATTCCATCTAATTAAATTGAATATGGGATTCTAGATTAGTTAAAGAAAAAAAATGAAATTAAAATAAGAACTGAAAGACAGGTTGCTTTTATTTTCTTATAGTTACTAATTCGTAGAAAGGTGCGGGCGCCTCCTTGGAGACAGAGGCGAGAGAGAAGGTGGTGGTGAAGAAGGTCAAAGCGATTTTCCCTCTAACGGACGAGCTAGAGAGGAGTCGTGGCAGTGAGAGAGCCGCGGTCGCATTTGTTTCACGGCAGCCAGCAGGAGCAGCAACGGCCAACAGGTGTATAGCAGGTGCACACCCCGAGCGGCATCGAGAGTGCCGTGAAGAGCTAAAAAGTTTCACGTCCACCTGAAGGTCCCACACGAGAAACCGGCCGACTTTCAACCGTCGTTTTCTTCAGCGCCACCACCCCTCGACTCCCACCCCACGTAGCCCACATTTGCCGTGTATATACGTTTGTCGAATGAACAAACGGACGATCGAACCAACGAACTAACTCGTTGTTACCTTCTTGCGACAACACAATGAGAACGGTTGAGAAAGAAACGGTAAAATCCAATTCCCAATGCTTCGAATCGAATTCTTGGGATCTTAAGGTCGTTGTCCTAATCATCAATATATTCATAATTAGCCACATATCTATTTCAATTTAAAGGCATAGCAAAAAAATGATAATTAATTTTAATTGGCTATATATAACTGTGAACAAGATATCATATATTTTGGGATGAAACAGAGGCAATCAATTATATTTTAATTATTACAATAATTGATTACTGAAAGTAATCATCATAAGAAATAATCTAATAATGTTGCACAATATTTGTATATTATCATATATTGTGATTAAAACTGAAGTACAGAAAGAAGATGTAATCTACAGCTTTTCAAAAAGAAGGTGGAAACTAAGATAGTTTTAATCTCAAACTTCATACTTAATATATTTATATTATATTTATTTATTTATATTTTTCTAATAAAAGAAATTTCTTCTAGATGAATAAAAAAACTCTCCATAAAAACCAGAAGAATTAAATGAAAAATGTGATCTATGGGTGAAGAAAAGTTTTTTGGACAAATAAAAAAGAAAAGAAAATTTTAAGAAACACAGAAACAATAAAAGAGTAAAAAATATAATAGACGAGGAAAAGAAGATTCAAAGATAAAGATAAAGGGAAGAAAATCTCGATGAAAACCGGAAGAGTGGAGAAGAATAGAAGAGGGATGGAAGAAGACACGTGGAAGAAGGTACCAGTCGGAGAGAAGCACCTGCGTCTCATTATCGATCATCTATCGAACGAGGCCTCCAGTCGGGGGCTATCCTCAAAATCACTATGCGCCGCTATGTTTCCAACCGTTGAAAATCCACCCTGTGTCGTGGCCGATGTCAGGTGCTTCTTCCTGGACGGCAAGTGCAGGCGGCGCGAGGTGCTTTTTCGATTTAATGACACGTTGTCCCACACAAGCGTGGTAACGTACACGCGCCCTATGCTTATACCTTTCTTCTCTTTGCTCCTCTTCCCGGATTTCCGTTTCCATTCCGTTCCGTTCGCCGTTACCAACCACCGTTTGAATCAATCGAGAAAGGAACTTCTGGCGAACGCCAATGGCGCGCGAATAACGGACGATTAATAAAGTTAGTAAAGGATTATTTTTATTTAAAGATCAAATTCTATTAAATTATGACTCGTTTTTATCTTCGTGTTAAAAATTTTTGATACATTAAATTTACATTATTTTGATCATCAAATTAGAAATTTAATAATATTGAATTTTACTATTGATATGAGCGATTAATTAATTAATTAATATTACTATTTTTTCTTCTTTTATATTTCGTACATTTCAAAGATAAAATTGTAAGTAAAAAATTTTTCTCTCTGACTTCAATTAAAAAAAGTAAAAATACTTTCGTATTACTTAAATGAAATTGAATTTAATTAACAAATTTCTACTTGCAACATGTAGAACTGAAATTAATAATCATAATGTTAGGTAGATATAATGATATATATTTTGAAATTTATTTCATTGTAATTGCATATATTTAAATTTATTTAATAATTCATGAATATAAATATATAATATAAATGGAAATATATTATATAATAAAAATTGATTGAGAAAATATAATCTGATCTATATCAAACAAATTATGTGAATAAAAAATTGATGTTTCATATATCAAATATACATCAAATACATAATATCTGTTTGACATTATATTAGATATATTTACATCTACATTATATTAAATAATTATTAAATATCATTTTAAATATCATTTATCAAAATATAATAATTTTTAACTTTTATTTCAAAAAGTATTTGCACATCATTTAAATGTATATTATACCATTTACATTAACTAATTCTATTAATTTGTATTTTCTAATTAATTATTTTCAAATATACTATACTCCATATCATTTCTTAATATTTTTACATAGCAATTAATAAATTTGACGAAATATAGAATATATATCATTATATTTAATCTATTCTTCTTGTATTTATCCTATTCATAGCCAATAGTCATTAAACAAATACTTTTTTCCAATCTACTCGAAACAAATGCTATTATAACATAACTTCTTCTAGCATTCTTTGCAGCATTCTTTAAAGATATCGAATAACCCAGAGAAAACGCTCGAGAAAAGAAAGAGTGATAAGAACAAGATCGAATTATCTTCATTACTTACAATTTGTCGCGTAAGGATACAATTTAAAACATATTTCGCCAATTGAATTAATGGAAAAGAGAAGATACGAAGTGGTACGTACCATCGACATCATCTTTTTATGGACAAAAGGACGGTAATTAATCGGGAAGAAGCAGAACGATAACGGCCGCGACGATAAAGTTGTCCCGCTCGCGTTGGTAAATATACGCTCATGCACTTTTACTTATCAAAGTTCAATTGAGTTAACGATCGCACCTGTACGTTCCTTTCTCCTTGCTAGAGCGCGCGGTTTGGACGGATGGCAGCTGGATCTGGCATGCACGGGGTGTCGTGCACACGGTATACGCATACGTGTACGTACAGGTGGGACGAAACCGTCATCCTTCTCCTCGAGCGGTTCGTTCGATCTTCCCATCCTTATCATAAATTTTCTCTCGTTTCCTGGCCGAATTCGAGGCATCGACCGCTCTTTGGACCGTTCTTCGTTGGCTAGAGCTTGGAATGAAATGCCCGAGATACTTTGAAATTGAAAAAGCTATGGGATTTTGAAACTTTTTATCAGTTTTGCGATTTGAAATTGTTAAAAATTAATTTTTTCCCCATTTCTTTCATTGTCAATTATATTATAAATTATTCTTCATTTTTCATCATCGTTTCAGAACTAGAATGTTCAAGATACTTTTTTCTTTTTCATTTATATTTATCTGTTATTTTCAAGCAAATCTACAAGTGAATATGATTTTATTATATTTAATTGTGTGATTCGTCCATTTGTTTTCCTTATCGATCTTTTTTATGGAAGTTGAGGATGTGCATGGAAAGATGCAACAGTGGTACAGGCAGTGTAACAACAAGGATAATCATAAAGAAGGAGGAAGTATCGTGTAAAATGTGGAAGATCACGACCAAGTGAGAACTGATCTTTGATGCTTCGGGCGAAATCAAGCAAGAAAGTATATAAGCTGAGGTAAAGCAAAATCGAAGGAAATTGCTATGGTCGAGATCGAAGCGGCTTCTCTCAGTAGGAATGAAGAAGTGTAGGCAAAAGTGGTCATGGTGCTCGTTAAACGTCGAAACAAGTACCACTTATCGATTCTGAAGTTCCTGTCTGAAGTTTCTTCTTAGAGAAATTATGTGGCAGCTGAGCTAAGAAGAATGGAAGTGCTCGAGATATCTTTTGGTGAGATTTTTCCATATCTCTGATTTGATTCGGTCAATGTTTTCCAATCTTTATCCAGTAATCTTTTCTTTTACAATTATATGTAAAAAAAACTTGTATTATAATTTTTAATTGATGATTTAATATTAGTAATGAAGACATGATTTTTCGTTCTCTATAATTATTTATTTATTAATGGTCTTTGCTTCCAGGCAATTTAAGAGAATGATTTAAGAGAAGCCCTCCAACGAGTTTCTATTAAAAGATAATCAACAGATAATTAGAGAGCAATGTCCATGTGAACATCGTTGTATCAAAAAAGAAGCAGTGATTGGTGGTTGGTCCAATGAGCAGCACCATGGCCCTTTAAACTGTCCCGTGTCACACGCTGCTGCTTTGGCTCAACGCTTTTTTACCATCTGCCCCTTGTCGGGCATATGTTGCGGGATAACATCGAAAATGATCCGAAACAGGTAGAGAGGCGAGCCTCTAGATTTCGACACTCGCTACCCGTCTGTCGGCGATCACCTGTTGATTTCCTTTAAATCAAAATAATATCACACGTTTCCACGCTTCTCGGTGTGTAGCCAGTGCATTGACTTTTCCTTGAGAGGAAACTATGAATAACACAGCTATGAGAAAACTTGATGCCTTCGATTCTTGAAGAGCGGATATCCATCAAGTTAGGAATTATCAATTAAATTAAGTATACCTGGAAATAGAGATGGGTGAAATTTAATTCAAATAAAAATTAGAAATGAATTTTTATTTACCAGAATAAGAGAATAAGAATTCAATTGAGAAAAATATATTATATTATATTGTAGACGATGGAAATTTGTTAAACATTTTTTCAAATCTTATTTTTGTATCTAAGTTTTGTAATTTTGATTTTTACAATTTATTTTTGTTCAAATATTAAATTAAAAAGTTGAATATTTCTTTACGAACTTTTCATATTCGGTATTTTTAAATAACCGAGTTTATATTATTCTACTAATGAATCTTCTTATAATATGAATCATATAGATATATCCGGATAAATATTGATATGATATAAGAAAATATAATCGAGAAGTAAACATACAATACAAATGCTAAACTAAATATATGTACAAGACCGACTATGAATATATCCTTGTAAAAACATTTACACAAGATTATATCAATGAAAATAATTATTCTTATATTAATAATTTATATAACGATTATGAACTTATTCTCATAAATAATAATTTGAATAATGTTTGTGAAAATTTCCTTTGAATCAAAAATTAAACTTCAAATTAAATCTCATACACTCTATTGCTCCCATTGAAAATAACTCATATTTAATCAAGACCTAATTCAAATCTAATCTAAATACAATACAAAGTTGTCTAATTCAAATTTATAACAAAGTTAATAAATCTAAATTCGA